AGTAACTCCAGCTGTTATTTATGCCCTCATAATGCTCTTTTTCACCTATGCTAGCTTATTATCTCACTGCTATTAATGTATTTTTATCACCACAATCCATCTTTAAGAGAGGCAAATGTTATCTGATTTTACAGGAAAAAACAAAGCAAAAATCAGAAAAAATATCATGGGTATAGCTCATTTAAGGACTGAAGCTAGGTCTTGTGCATCTGCGGCAATGAGTCTAATTGCCCTTTACTTGGGGCAGTTTATGTGCTCTTAAATATTCTGCCTGTTGTACTGCAGTTCTGGTTGTTTAGTCTGATCTCTTGAGCGGTTCATTTTATTGGCCAGGATCTGGGGTGTTGTACTGCTGTTACTATCTACCCATGTTGGTCTTATTTTGCCAAGTGGTAGCCCAGGCATCAAGAGGAGCAATTACATGCTCTTACGCCATACTAGCACTTCAAAGAGATACTTGGGCAGTTTCTGCAGAGGATAAAGGTGACCAAGAGCATATCAGGGCTCTTGCCCTCTCCCCCCCAGTCCCCCAGCACCCTAACACCATCAATATTTCAAGGGTTCTCATTTTGATCACTGTCGGGGCCCTTTGTTGTACATGTACATGCAGCTATTGAGAGTTTAACGGAACCCCTCCTGGGAAAATAAGTTAAGGAAGAATTTCCTCCTCGCTTCTCTGAAGAGAAACTTAAGATCTGATTGAAAAGGATTGGGGAAAGTCAAGCGACCAAAAGATTATGTATACTTTGCAAAAAGCAGGGCATATTTATGTGAAACAGCAGATTTTTTTAGAAGTATGCAATTCAATTTCTTCGACCTACTGGGTTTTTCTCCCCCAGATACTTGGGTGTATAAATCAGTGTACCTTCACTGTCTTCGCTTCAAAAGGGCTATACAATATCACACCAGTTAATGCTCTCGCCCGTAGAAATTGCAAAGTAGATGTGAACAGTGAAAGTCCAAGAAACAATGATGTTTTAGAAATATTTACTCTCCTTCCTACAAATGTCTTCATTTATTGTACTAATTATCCTGAATTAGAGAGCTGCTATTGGCTGTGTTATTGCATCATTTAAAAAAAAGCGCTATAGCACAGAACAAATATAAATCTCTTCTTGGAGGTTGGAAGCCACTGTTAGGCTTTATTTTTTAAAACAGTTGTGCTTATTCCAGTGGCTTTATCAGGAGCTGCAATTGAATTGAAATACCTTTTGGCTTTTGCAACGGTTCTGTTAGATTAATTATGTTTTCTGTAAATCTTGCATAGATGCAAATTCTTTAAAGTATTTATTCCCTTATTAGTGGGCAAAAAGCTGAAAGAAGTTACAAACAAACCTGTAAAATGCAGTATGTGGAAAAAATGTTGCTTTCATTTAAATCTTCCCATTGAAGTCAGCGTCTCGGAGACTAGCAACTTGCTGTTTTCAGAAGTAGCTTCAGGATACAGCAGAATGATGTCTGTTAGGGCTGTTAACCTCTAACCAGCTCCTTTTTACTTCCTGGTTTCCTAAGTGGTAACGGGTTTGTGATGACCTGCAGTGATCAGTGGTATCTTTCTCCCAGTGGGCTGTGAACCTTGCCGCCTCCCAGGAGCAACTCTGAGAGGGTTTCTGAGGGTGTGAGAAAATAGCAGAGGGGTTGTGGAGCGGCTGAATATGCTCCTCATGCTACACTGCACTTTTTCCGCCTTCTTGACCATCCTGTGTCACCACTTGGGAGCTTGTTCTGCCGGGTTAGGGTGGTGTGTTTGCAGTGGAGCAGAAGAGAGGAGTGCCAATCGTTTTGAGATTTGGGCTGGGTAGAGCGCTGGAAAGTGAAAGAGATGGGATTCAGCTCTGGGAGTGCTTGGTTTATGGATGCAGCTGGGAGCGACAGTTAGGATTATGAAGACCCGGGTGCCCTGTGTTCATAAATGGAGGGGTAGAATTAAACCTGTTAGTGATGTTACCATTATTTTTCCTATTCGATTACTGGTGGTAATTTCAAGCCAACGTTAACCTGCAATTAGAACTTACGTCCTTCTCTGATTCAATAACTGGGTGATTTACTGCAACATTTGTCATCCTCATTCCTGTCGCTGTGGATGGGAGTCCCTCAAGAATCTTCTCTTGTCATTAAGTGTTAATGAAGTGGAAAGAGTAAGGAGAAAATAGCTTTCCTAATCCATTGGGGATAAGAAGCTGCTTCCTTACCCTCAAAATGAAAGCAAAATACTTGGAAATCTTCTATTACTTCAACTTTTTTTGAGGAAAAAGAAAATAATCTTATATACTATTATATACCCCTGAAACACTGTGTTCTACTCTCAATCTCGTGAAACTGTAAAACATGAAAACAAACTGTATACAACACAACTTCAGAAAACTAAAGACCAGTTTCCTCTCCCAATGGTAACAAAAAGTACAGTCTCATTTTTTCTGAAGAAAAAAAATTTGTGAAAATAGATTAATTTGTGGCATTTTTCACTGGGAAGTCATTCCAGTAAACCATTTCTGGGCTGATTTAATCTAGAACCAGCTGAACTAAAGAGATGATGTTGGAACGTACCTCTCCATTTGGCTTAGTATCAGATATTAGTGTTAGCAGAGCTCACGTGGGAGCGTATCGAGAATTTATCACAGATGGGGATCTTAAAAAAGAGGAGGAGGAAATTAGCACGTGCTCTGCCCATTGATTTCTTTAAGTGCTACTGATCAGTGAGCTTTGCAGTGCTGGGGTCAGTTCTGCACAGAAATGAAGAAGGATATCCTGCTGGAAAACATTAAGAAGGGCAAACCCAGGGACAGATTAAGTGGAAGCTTTTGTGAATTTGTGGACTGAATTTGGTATTAACCTCTGGATCTGCGCTTCTTTCTGCAGCCTGCAAGTGTGCCATAGGAGCTGTTAGGATTATGTCTCCACGTAGCTGGTGATCACTGGTAGGGAATAGTTGGCAAATGTTGACTTGGGAGCATTTTAAAGATGCCTGCTGGCCAGAATTCATAAGGCAGTGACTGTGATAATTATCATACATTTGCAGGAGTCTGGATGTGAGCAGTCATTTCCTGATAGAATTTAGACAATGCTATTTTGCACATACCCCCACCACCACCAGTTTCTAGCTTCTATGGGATGTTTCAACACATAGTTTGTCTTTTTCTTCTAGTTACTTTTCCTAAGTATTTTTCCTGTAGTAGTATTTTTGTTTTCTTTTTTCTGAGTAATCATCTTTGAACTTGCTAGCAGCGAGGAGGTTCTGCACCAGCTAGGTGAGAAGGCTGAGATCCCAAGCAGTCCCATTGATTGGACTGGCACTTCTCCCAGGAGCTCATCGAGTACTCAGGATCAAACCCCCAATTAAGTACAAATATTTGAGGTTCTGCATAACTCAAATTTACAGACATTTTCTATCTAGTAGAAATCCTGTCTATTTCCTACAAACACAGGAGTACACATTCCAGTGGCACATAATGGGGTCATTAGAAAATCAGTTTAAACCTTTAAATGCAGTTTGTAAAACATGATTTGGGGTGTCACAAGCATTGAGTGACTTATGCCTTGCCGATTAGAAGATGATTATCCTCTGCCGTGCTTGCTGCAGTAGCTTGTACTAGGAAGAGTATTCTCAAAGCTATCTTAAGTTTGCTATTCAAACCTATTCACTCTAGGCTATGTATTGTGTTTGACTTCCTGGTACTTTATGTTGAAGACACATTTGTCTTATTAATCAGACAGTTGATATCTGCCAGGAATGTATTTAATATAATGTCAAACATAATTTAGATGAGAAGTGAAAGTACAGTTTGGTGTCATTTTCTGCCAACCATTATTACTGTGAGAGGGAAGCACAGCAAGCCAAGCTTAAACGGAGCCTTTAAGCAATAACAAATTGATTCGTCTGTTTATTTTGGCCTAATGTTCTTCCCTTGGTTACAAAGCTGTTGTAAGCATGTGCTAAACAACAGACATTTAAAAATTATGCTAGATCAGGAATATCAGCTTAGAGGATCAGATCAGAGCATCCAAAGGCCTCAGTAAGGTTGACAGCATTGTTGTTGTGCTTTATGGGCAAGGGTAAATGAGACTTCTTGTTCCAGCGGTGTAGGTGTCATATGCAGGTTGAGGCAGGAAAGCCATGGAGTTCTCAGGCATCGGATTTACTCTAATAATAGCTAGTGTCTGCCTCTAGAGCTGGTGGGGAAATGCAACTTGTTCTTTGTGAAAATGTCAGAAAACTTCTGACCCCTCTGTCGATTGAGAAGGAGCAGTTTTTAAATATTTTTCAAATAAAACACTATTACCTTTTCAAAAAATCTGTAGCTATTTCTAGATATGTAGTTTGTCCCTGTATATTATTTAAGTGGCCAAATACAATAGAAGCTTACTAACTATCATTATTAACCCCTAGGTCTGATTGTTTACTTGGGGAAAAAAGCCAGAAACAAAATTGAATGAGATTCAAAGATTTATTCCCCTGCTTTGGCACAAGGGGCTGCTGGGGGCAGCGAGTGGAGCTTGGTACGGGACTGTGAAAACACAGGCTCTATTTCAACACCAGCCTGGAAGCAATCGGAAGTGAAGTGACTTGCTATGCTTCAGTTCCCCCTTTGTACAAGAGTGGAGAAAGATGCTTGTTTCTACCATAAACTGGTGTGACCTCTACTGTTAAAAACGCTTGCATGAAGAGTGTTTTATTATTAAGCTGGGCCAATCATGTTAATTGTATTCTTTTACTGTTGCCATCTGTGCTACAGAATATTCGCTCTGGAGGATTATTCTAGAGCGTAAATTAAGTCTGTGCCTCATAAACCAAGTGTATTTGCTGATGATGGTTGCGTTGATAGAAGCAACCTTGAGGTCTTTGCCACATCTTGTAAATTAGGAATTAGGACATGGATCTCCACTGAGCTTTTTGTGTAAGTGATTGATGTCATATATGAATGAAAAGATAGCTCATGGAAGAGGAAGAGCAAGCACTCAAACATTTGTCTGTTTTTCTGGCAGGATGGAGAAAAAGAAAATTCTAATGAAATCCAAGGTTGCTGCTCCTAACCTCCTGAGGGCCCTGCATTCTCTGTACCAGTTCGGTCACCTCTGTGATGTGACAGTTCACACACAACATCTCGGAATTCAGGAGGAGTTTCTGGTTCACAAAGCTGTCTTGGCAGCTTCCAGCAACTATTTCAAGGGGCTTTTCCTGCATGATGAGATGCTGGACACCAAGAATTGCACAGTGACTCTACAAGACATTTACACAGAAGAGTTCACCTCCTTCCTGGAGTTTGTTTACACTGCAGAAGTGGAGATTGAAGCAGAAAAACTGCAACGGATGAAAGAAATAGCTGAAAGACTTGAATGCAAGGATTTGCTTGACATTTGTGAAGAAGTGAAAGCAGAGGGCAGGAAGGGGCTAGATCTGAGCCTCCATCTGAAAGGTCAGCTGTGTGAAAATGGTGCACCACAGTGGACTCGCATCCAGCAAGAGGAGGACCACAAACTGAGTAACTCTTCCCAAGTTGTGGCAATACCCATGCAGAGGAAACTTTGGGCTAGGCAAAAACATAAGAAGTTGCTGGCTGGCTACGAACTCATTGAAGGCCAACCAGCAAGCCTGGAGCAAGAGGACACCTCTTTTCCAGACCCAAAATCCAGGACCGCAAAGCTACCAAAATGTAACAAGACAGATACCAGAAACAGACTCAGCATGGATATTGTTAGTCTGGAAAACGAGAACAGTCATTCTCTCCTAAGTCAGACTGAGTCAAAGGAAGCCTGTGTAGTAATTAGGAACACTCTGCCTGAGCAGTGGGAAGATGCAAACAGTTTAATTTCCAAATTTGCCAGTAAAACGGAACGTAGGAAATCACCGCGGCATGTGGCCAAAGTCTTGCCGCAGATTGCGTGTGAGAAGTGCGACGAATCATTCCGTGTTATCAAGCAGTACCAATCGCACATGGAGCTCAGACATGCCGTTAATCTGGCTGTCAAGTACAGCTGCAACGCATGTGAGCAGCTCTTCTCCACTCACCAGAACCTCCGGCAGCACCGCCTCACTGTTCATAGTGATGAGCGGGGCTTCTCCTGTGTGTTTTGCGACAAGAGGTTTAAGCGCCAGAAGGACATAAACGACCATATCCGCAGGGTGCATGAGAAGAAGCGGGATCCCCAGGCCTGCCCATACTGCGACAAGGTCATCAGTTCCAAGTGCGGCCTGACAGTCCACATACGAACACACACCGGGGAGAGACCTTATAAATGTGAACACTGCCCCGCCAGCTTTGCTCAGAGGTCTGCTTACAATACTCACGTAAGGTACAGCATTGTCTGTGTGTGTGTCTGCGCACGCGCAGGAAAATGTGTTTTCTCTCTGGGTGCCAGGGTAAAAGCATTCCTGAAGTCCTTGCTGCTTTAATTCCAGAATTCCTTGGATCTGATCAGAAGTGTGTCGAAATCAGGACAGATTTTTTTCACTTGACCTCATCAAGCTCTCAGTCCAGATTACTGGATTGACATCTCCCAGACTGGGAATTTAGGTGAACATTTCCTGTTGAATCAAAGGGGACTTGTGCAGCCATATCTCTTAGGTGATTTTGGAAGCCTCAGGTTTGGGTTTTTAAACAGGAGCCTGAAAAGAATCAGCATCTGTTTAAAATGCACAAGAAAATGCCCATTTCATAAACGTCAGGGCAGTGTGGTGCTTTTTAGTATGGTTTTTGTCAGCCAAATACCCTGTGTGCTTTTTTGCTGGGTAGCGTGAGCTTCCGGATAGACTTATTGAGTGCTGCTTGACTGAAAACAAGATGTTGAAAATGCACAGTAGTTTCCAGAACTGCAAAAGCCACCATACATGTCAAACATCTCCATACCCTGCCTGTGTGGTACAGGAGATACATGGTTTACTACTGGATCTCAGCTTCCCTTTTTAAAAAATGTCAACATTTGTTTGTAGTTCAGTCCAGTAGCAGAAAAAACAATCCAGATGTGTAGCGAGTGCAATGACGTAGCTTGTTCCACACACCTGAGTAGTGATGAGTAGAGTTAACTGCTGCAATTGATGGCTTACAAGGGGATCTGTTTTGTTTTTCCATATAGGCATTTAATCTATATTTTCCTTGTTTTACGTCCATAATTTCTTACCCTGTCCAGCGTGGTCTTGGAGGAAAATGTACAGTCCATCCTATGTTACTAGTCAGATGACAAATACATATGCTTGAGGGGCTCCATCCTTGATGAACTGAGAGCTTTTAATTTTCTTTAATTATCTGGTCCAACTCTACATAAAATTTCCCTGTTGTTTGGCTCTCCAAACATGCTGTTAATTTCTTAAATGGTGTGAAGAACAATTAAAAGGAAACAGCTCTTCCTCCAGGGCAAACATGTCCGAATTGAAACAATTAAACTTATTGAAGTTGTGCCCTGTTGTTTGTTTATTTTAACAGAAAAATCCATGAGTCTGGGCAAGAGAGGAAACTTATGCCTGTCTATTGGATGGTAGTTCCACCTGCGCATAGACCAAATGCAACAACCTGTGACAAAGATCCTGACAGAGAGATGTGGGATGGGACATCGGAGGCTGAACGACAAAAGTGTGCGAGGCACGAAGAGGCCATGAGTCGTAAGGAAGAACCTGGGGGTTCCTCTGTTACTGAAGCAGACTGCAGCACTGAGCAAGAAGCACAGAAGCGGAAATATAAGGAAGCTGAAGCAAGAACGGAAAAAATGAGTGAAGGAGGGAATGAAGATGAAGGTGAAATGAGCGTGAAGGGCGAGGAGGAGGTAGATTACGAAGCGGGGTATTCAGAAGTTGAAGATAGTAGAGATAATGAGGAGGTCTGTACTGAGGAGGACGATGAGGATGATGAATGCTCTAATGAGAAGGATGTTGAAGAACGTGAATCAGATGAAGGGTTTAAAATAAAGAAGGTAAATAAAAGTGGGGTGAATAAGAAATCTGCCTATGTAATAAGATGCGATAAGTGTAATGAGCAGTTTGTTTCCCGGAAAAAGTACGTGGATCACTGCAGAGATGTTCATCAGTGCTTGCCTGGTAAAGTCTATCAGTGTGACATCTGCAGCAAGTCGTTTGCTAGTTACAACAGCTGGAAGGAGCATCGAGCCTGTGTGCACACTGAAGAAAGGCAGTTTGCCTGCACCCTTTGCAATGCTACTTTTAAAAGAAAGAGAGATGTGAGGACACATTATATGCGGAAGCATGAAGGCAGAGTCAAACGCCCTCTCTGCTCTGTCTGTGGGAAGATCCTCAGCTCCCGAACAGCGCTAGTGTTTCATATGCGGACGCATACAGGAGAAAAGCCTTATGAATGTGGCATTTGTCATTCAAAATTTGCTCAGCCATCACAACTTAAGATCCATACCAGGTCAGCCTACAGTACTGCTTCTCCCATTACCACTCCCTGCATGCCCAGTGTACTTCAGCACTTCTTTTTCCTCTTCTGACTTCCCAGTTCTGAGTCAATTCTCCTTGTGTGTCCTTATAACAGGAACACTGGGATATGATTTGTTCTGCAGTATCTGTGATTAATTCTTTTACGTAAAGGCTTTGTCCGCAGCTGGTCATTGCATCAGTTTTGGTAGGGATTTTGAAACAGATGGTCTATCCGAACTTGTAATCAAAAGCCAGTCATTTGAGACAGTCTTCAAAATAAGATGATGGCCTTCACCGATAAAAAGTAGCATAGGCTGAAGAACTAGTCAAGGACCTCAGAGACCTAGATGCTGAGCCCTGCTTGCTCTTTATCACTCTGAGCAAGTCATTTAGTGTGGGATTTCATTTCTTGTATGCAATACAAAAGCTGGACTTCTCATCTAGACTCCCTCTGTAGTCATTGGAGCTAGACTGGATGAATTGCTCTCCAGTGGTGTCTGTCTTAAATGTGTCCTCTTCCCAGAGAGGGTGAATCATCCCATGGAATTTCCCATCTTTCTCCAAACAGGGAGCATAGCAGATAGCTTATAAGAGGAGGTTAACTGTTGGAGGGCTAGAAGAGATGAGAGAAATCCCACTACTAGAGACTGTGGACCCATACAATGGGGACAGTAGTTTTCTTCTGTCTCCTAAGTGTTCTGGCAATGATTTAAAAAATTGTGAGGTATACTGATTCAGGACCAGCAAAACATTTGAAATTTCAAGATAATCTCTGTTGGTAGAAACGCAGCAGAGCTGCACCACATGTGAGATGTGGTATGACTGCAACAAAACAGTGACTTGGGGGCTTTATGTTGGGTAACTGGCTGTCTCATATTTGCAGCATTTTGCCCGACAGCTCAAAATTACGTGTGCTTTTCCACGTCTTACTATCTGGGTTGGAATAAGGAAAGTCAGCACAGTGTTAACACCAAACATTGGGCTTGGACTTTCTCTGATTGGAGCTAGTTTAAAATCAGATGTTCAGCATGCATTTGGAAGCACTGCTTGCCTGACTTTCTTTGGTGGTGCCTTTTGTCTTAAAAATGGGAATATCCTGCAAGCTAAAGTTTGCAGGCCAGAGGACATGAGGCTGAGGGATTGCAGAAGCCAAGAATGTGGCCCACAGTGTCCCAAGAGATCTGCTGCTGGCATTGTGCTGGGGTCAATCTGAATGCTCTTTCAGTCTCTAGCAGAGCAGCAGCTTGTCGTCTTCCTTGATTTCTCACTTCCGATGCTGATACTATGAGCTATAGCTTGTGGAAGAGAGGTGGATTTTGTAGGGCCTGAGAGTGAGGAAAAGCTAAACCTTAAATGGGAATTTTAGTGCTTTAGTGTAGTACCTACACTGGCAAACGCACCATTTCCTGAGTGAGCTGAATGTACTTTTTTCCACTTCATTTAAAAAATGAAGTATGCTGCCTGTAGTCTGTAGAACGTAATTTCAAATACATTATTTTAAGAATGTACTACAAGAGCTAATTTATTAATAGTCATTTGTGTTCCACTTCATTTAGATCCCATACAGGGGAAAAGCCATATATTTGCGAGGACTGTGGGGCTTGCTTTGCTGATAAAGGCAAACTCACTGGCCACAAAAGGACCCACACAGGTAGGCATTAAATACTTCTGTTCCTTCCACCTGGTTTCTCCCACTGCCTCCCTTTATACTGCTAGAAATTGCTAGTTGGGATTTGAAGAAGGTGCACACTTTTTTTTGTAACTCTCAGAAGAGACCTCGAGTACCAGGAAGGAACTACTAGGGATAGAAAGACATCTGAAAACCAACTTTGAAGTACAAAATTGTGCTGAAAGAATTGAGAATGTCTTTTTCTCTTTACTCAGGAGAGCGCCTATTTAAGTGTGATGTGTGTGGAAAACATTTTGCCACCAACGAATATTTAAAATGCCACAAACGATGCCACATGGGTGCTAAGCCCTACAAGTGCGAGGTTTGTGGGAAGGCGTTTGGACTGAGAGCCTCACTAGCCCAGCACAGTAACGTCCATGCAGGTAATGAAACAAACTATTCGGGGCTGGGAAAATAAGTGGCACTGGAAGCTTGGATCTGAACTACTTTCTAGTTTGGATGGTGACATTTTGTTTCGGAACCACTTTTATAAACTCCTTGAATTAAGTGAATGAGGAGAAGCAGGGGTCATACTGATCTCGACTTGTTCAGCAAGGCGCTGCTGAAGGACGTCAGAGCAGAGAGCAGCTGTAGTTGCTGCTGTTCCCCTTGCAGGATCAGGGAGCTGTTCTTAGGCTTTCCCTCGCAGCCAAGAAGTGTTTATCACATAAACCAGGGCCCCCAAGCACATGTCTCCTATGTACACTTCTTTAGCAATACTGATCTTATTTTAAAATTCCTTATGCTTTTTCTCTGCTGAAATCTGGGCCAAAAGAACCTGCCTTCTAACTCTGTGCTTCCTGTTGGTTGGGGGCTTTTTTTGTTGTTTTTAGAGACCCGTCCGTATTTCTGCGAGCAGTGCGGGAAAACGTTCACCCAACAGGGCGCTCTCCGGCGCCACCAGCGCATTCACACTGGGGAAAAGCCGTACAAGTGCAGAGCTTGCGAGAGAACCTTCACAGACATGTCCACCTTGCGCAGACACGTGTCGGTACGCTGCCCCTTGGGTGTGTCTGTGGCAGGCCGACTGCGGTGGTGACTTTTAACTACTGAGTGAAGTTTCTTTGCTTAATGAGGGCTTATGTTGGTGCTTAAGTTCTGATCTTTATTTTAAAAAAATTGCAGAAAAATTACTATTAGGGTTGGGGAATTGATCTGCCTTCTACAGACAGCTTTTAAAAATATATTTCTGAAGTGTGCAGAGTTTTCCTCAGTCCAACAGCACAGCAGGCTCCCACTGCTGGCTGTCAAACCAGTCATCTCCCAACTTGTTCTGTTGTCTTCAAAAGGAAAATCTAATCTTAGTGGTTATTTAAAATGCTTATTACTGATTGAATCCGTTTCTTAAAAAAACGAACGGTGCTGCATTTTATGTTACTATAGTCTCTGCAGTCTTTTAAGCCTCTTAAGCAGAGGCCATAACATGATGGTTTATAGCATCTTCGTGTTGCAGATGAATATGATTTTATGTATTTCCAGTGTTGCGATATGCCGAAACATGGATTGCTGAGCTTAGCTGTTTTCAGAGACCTTCAGGTCCCTGAAGTGTCTGCTAAAACAGAGCATAAGGGTTTTTTCCAATTACAAGTTTTTAAGTTAATGTTTGCCTGTGTGCTAAAACTCTAGCTTCTTTTGGAAGCGTTCCATGACAGCGGAGCCAGAAAATCAGTGCAGAGTTGGCAAAACAGACTTGTTCTTGCGTTTCAGAGTTCAGCTTTTGCATTTGAGCGCAGGATCACAGACTTAACCCCGTTACTATTTGATTTTGCACTGGATTAAGTCTTCAGTTATTAAAGTTACTGTTAGGAAAAAAAATCAGATATAATTGTTTCCCCTCCCCCCCCTTTTTTTTTCCTAGATTCATGACCGCAGTGTTCACTGGAGAAGTTTCTTAATAGATCTTACAACCAAAAAAGACCATAATTGGTCCAAAATAGAAACATTCTCAGAAGCCTGTATGGGTGACGACTCCACGCCAGAAATTTGGTCGGTTGACCAAGGTAAACTTTATAAACCAGAAAGCGTTGTTCTTAAAGAAGCAGAACATGTGCCATCTAGTGCTAGTAACGCAGAAGACGCCGATCACTCCCTCGCATACTTATAACGTCAGCTATCGCCAGGAAACTGCACAGTCTCTCCGAATTACCTCAAATTATCTCAAATATTGGTGGCGGCAGCCCCGTGACGCTCTGTGTCGCCTATACGCGGGTGAGCTGTACACTAGTTCTAGGCGTTGCAGTCGGAGAAGGGGGGGGGGTATTCCTGCTTCAGAGTATTTGTGCCAGTTAGATTTTTGGATCTGTACAGAGTTTTATTTTTTACAGAGCGCTGGACGCGTCGGAGAGCCTCTCTTCGTGAGAGCTCGTACAGGTTTGCGTGCTGTCGCTGTACGTCACTGCTTTGTTTTGTAATAAAGGTGCGCTCGTAACGTAAGTGACCCCCCGTCCCGTCACGGGTTCATTGGCGCGGATCTGACTGCAGGAAACTCGTTAATTCGGTTCGAATAAAACCCGGGGGCGCCCGAGGGGCGGGCGCGGCTGCCGCCCCGTTGCTTAGCGACGTCCGTCGCAGCGCCGGACGCCACTTCCTGCGCGTCAGGGCCGCGCCTGCGCCTTCCCGCGGCCGTTGTCAGGGCGAGGGGCGGGGCTACCGCGGGGCAGCCCTTCCGGCCGCCGCCCGCAGGCTGTGCGGTGAGGCGCGGCCCGGCCCGGCCCGCTCCGCTCCGCTCCGGCTGCGGGGCTGCCCGGTGAGTGCGGGGGCAGGCGGGGCCCTTCTCCTCCGCGGGCTGCCGTAGGCGGGGGGCGGGGGGGGGTCTGGCCCCGGCGGCCTCCCTCCCTCAGCCGGTGGCCGTTACCCTTCCCCTCACAGCCGGCTGGCCGCTGTGGCCATCGGCGCGGCGGCCGTTGCGCCGGGAGCTGCTCTCCGCCCTGCCCCCGCCGTGGGGAGGTAGCGGGACCTGCTCCCAGCGTTCCCGTGTGATCCACGGCCCCTTCTGAAGGGGAGAGGGAGCCGGTGTGGGGGGTCTGCCCTCAGCAGGGAGGTCAGTAGCCCCGTCGCTGTGTCCGAGGTGTGGGCGTCCTCTCCCTGTTACCCCTTCGCTCTTCTGGCCGGGGAGAGGTGTGTGTGTGGGCTGTAGCCCGTCCCCAGGCCCATCTTCGGGCCGCTGTGGCGAGCAGGGGTGGCCGAGGAAGAAGCCTGCTGAGGAGGAGAAGGAGGAGGGCGGCTGGCCTTGCCGTGTGAGCTGTGGGGAGACATGTGGCGATGCCCTATCCTCCTAATGTGGAGGAGTCTCCTGGCCTGGTCTGGGGTCAGTGCGTGTCTCTGAGTGCCCCTGCGCTCTCACAGGGGCTGCCAGCTCCTCGGAGTGCTCCAGCCTGTCATCTAAAAATCGTGCTGGGCGTTTGCTGCGGTGTGCTGTCCTTCGCTTCGCAGGTTTAGCTTCTGCTTCAGCCCTGCGGACTGTGCCTGTTGTGGTGCCGCTATTGTAGCTTCAATAGTTGGAGCGATCCTAAATGAGGCAGGTTGGTGCCTAGCAGTAATGTCTCTTACTAGACTGCGTGGAATTGTTGGTGCAGAAGAACAGACAAGCTTGTGGGTCCACAAGCACTTCTGTTACATCTAGCTGGCTCTTTTTGTCTCTTTTCAGCTAGTTTTGCCTCTGGAAGGGGACACATGCATGGTGTATGATGAGTGACCTTATTCAAGAATTGGTTTTATTTGAATCTCAGCTCTACAGGCTAGTCCTAGTGAGCAGGCTCAGTTTGCAGATTTTCAGGCCTTGTCTTTTTTAAGATTAATATATCGTAGTTCTGTTGAAGATGTTCTGCCAGCCCGGTGCTCAGCAGCTCGGTATACTTGCTGCAGGAGTGGCAATGAAAAGCCTTCACAGCGCAATGTATCTTACTGCATGTGTTGGATTACTTCTCCTCCTCTGAACAAATTCCAAACCAGCAGAAGGCTAGCGATGAGAGCGAGCGATCTGTTTTCACAGTGGCTTTTGATTCTGCAAATACTAGGGTGGGAAGAACAAGACGTTTTTGCTTTGCAGTCTTAAGAAAAAAGGAATTGGCACAGTGTGTCTGTTAACGCACACGTCTGTGGTCAGCTCCTGAAACGAACAGCTTGCTGAGTATGGTTATGAGCTCGTTCACCCCAGCAGGAGAAGTCTGTGGTTTGGGTTCTTGTTTCCGGCTGGGGATCGCTGTTGTCTACATGTGACCGCAGCTTTTGCTGTGTGCTCAGATGGAAAATAGATGGGTAGTTGTGAAATAACATGATAAGTAGTTTGAAAATAATTGTATTGGGGAAAAAAAATTAGGTTTTGATATCATTGATTATTTCAGATAAAGTGTTCAATGAGTCTTTGCTTAATTCACCCTCAAATACTTGGAGTGCCAGTGTGTCGTATAACTGGGAGGAAAAAAATAGCAGGGTGACTATGGAGAAAGGGAACCAGAGTTTAAACATCATCTTTTATGCTTATTTATAAGACTCAGCCTTTCAGTCAGGACTCAAATCATGTCATTCTCATTCATATAAAATTTCTGTCAAAACTAAAGTGTAGCATTGGGGGTTGCTTGTAAAAGTGGACAATGTTTTGAGATGCTTATGGAGTTCTGAGCTGACGCAGGCAATTCTTTGTCCCCTTCCTGGGTCTTTTGTTTTAGGTGTAGTAAGCATAACTCAGTAACAGTGAGGTTTAGGTATTCATTAGAATAATGTTAATGGAACTATTTAAATCTTAATAAAAGTTTACTGAGCTGAAGATTCAAAGGTTAGGAAATAGGAAGGGTTTGGTTCTGAGGATAATCTTTTTCTGCAGGATCTAAGGCAGGGGTTCGGGTGCCCATGGTGGATTGTGTTCCCTGTTCTCCCACTTGCTTTTTCTGTGAGGTTGGGGAAACAATTCTACTTCCCTTGGGTCTTGTCTGCCTTACTTGTAAACTCCTTGGGGCACAGGCTTCCTGTGGCTTTTTACCTTATGTAGTATTAAGTCCATGAAGCATTCATTTTACACAGCTACTAATAATCTCCATGAGTCTGTGTATTTTGTAGCTCTCCATTTTACAGTTTTTTGAAAATATTTTATCAAAACTGTTCTCATAGAAAATCATATTGGGATGCGAGTCTAACTTTTGGGTTGTTGAAATGAGTATGGACTAAAATTTGAGTTTATAGCTCTATGGAAGGAGAAGGAGTCTTTCTGATCCTTACTGTTATATTAATATGAATTTTGTTCCATTTGTACACTATTTTTTTTATTTGTCTTTCTAAGCAAGATTTCTAGTGTCCCGTGTGTAAAAGACTGTAAGTCTACTGTACCTGAGTATGTACAGAGAAAAGAAACCTTAGTTAACTCTAAGGCAGTGGGAAGAAATTCTTCAGATTTGAAACACATGTGTACGTAGTTGTTAGGAACACAGTGAAACTCAATAGATTGCAGGGCAGGATGTTGCTCTGAGTGCCTTCAAAGTTCATAGAAAAATTGTTTGTTCTGTGATGAAACTTTTTTTTTAAAAAAAAAAACCACCTCAGTTCTTTTGAGAACTTGGAGCAGCTTAAAACATTACTTGGAAATGTGGCATAACCTAAATGGTTGTGGAAATGGTGAAGCCCTTATAAGGCTACGAATGGGCATTCAAAATTTAGAGGCTGTAAGTGCATTTTGAGTGATGAATTTTTTTACAAAAGAAAACACTTTAAGGAAGTTTTATGATTCCTTGGGTTTACAGTTTGAGAATATGATTATGCAGTCTCCTATGCTTTGGTCAGTTAAGCATTTGGAATTTTATCTGAGTCTTGTTTAAAAGTCTTATCTCAAAAGCCTGTTTAAGGAAGTGTTTATTTAGGATTGCAGTTAACTTTTACTTAATCTTACCTTTCTCTTATTGCCTGATTAGGAGGGAGAATAATTTCTTAATTCCACATGCCTTAATGAGAGCATTTCTTCTGATCTTCCTGTGTTTGCTTTGTCCCTATTACGACTTCTAATAGTCTCTAGTGTTTCAGGTGACATTACAGCTGAGATTTAAACTCAAATTAACTTCAGAGAAACCTCTGTATATGACCGGCAGCATGGCTTTAGGTATGACCACTTAGGGTGACACTTTTGGAAATCTGCACTAGCCAGACTTTTCACAATGCTTCTTTGAAAGTCTGGTCTCTTAAGCTCAAGCAGCTTAAGTGCTTAAATCTGAAGTGAAGCACTCTCCAAAGTCTGGATGTGTCTTTTGGCCACTGAAATCTTTTGAGTTTTGTTAGCTTCCATGCAAATAGCTAACGTGCAATGTTGTTAACAGCTTTTTGCAGAGAGAAGAAAGATGGAAAGTAATGCAGTTTTACTAGAATCCAAGTCCTCTCCTATCAACCTTCTGAATGAAATGCATCAACTGCGTCTCCTGGGCCACCTCTGTGACGTGACTGTCAGCGTGGAGTACCAAGGTGTCAGGGCAGAGTTTGTGGCTCACAAGGCTGTATTGGCAGCAACAAGCAAATTTTTCAAGGAGGTGTTCCTTAATGAGAAGGGCATGGATGGCCCAAGGACCAACGTGTTCTTGAATGAGGTCCAGGTTGCTGATTTTGCTTCATTTCTTGAGTTTGTCTATACTGCTAAGGTAGAAGTGGAAGAAGACAGAGTGCAGCGTATGCTAGAAATAGCCGAAAAGCTGAAGTGCTTGGACCTCTCGGAAACTTGCTTTCAGTTAAAGAAGCAGATGCTTGAATCGGTGCTGTTGGAGTTGCAAAACTTCTCAGAATCACAGAATTCTGAGGAAGAGAGCACTACCCAGCCAAGCATTTTGCTCGAGTCCAAAGCAGCTGCTGTGGCAGAAGCTGACCAGGCAGACTGTCTTCTGGATCCTCCAGATTCCCCAGTAGACAGGTCCAGCAATGGAATGTCTCCTGAGATGCCGGCTACCAAGTCAAAAGAGAAAATGGACAAAAAGAAGGAAATGATGAAGCCTCCTTATGCCAAAATCAGAAGGGCAAGTGGGAGACTGGCTGGGAGGAAAGTATTTGTGGAAATCCCGAAGAAGAAGTACACAAGGCGGCTGAGAGAGCAGCAGAAGAATGCAGAGGTTGCTGTTGAAGAAAACAAACATCCTGAAGACCAGGATATGTGTGATATGGAGACGGAGGAGGAGCAAGCAGAGAAGAGCATCAAACCTGAGAGCGAAGAATGTGATGGCAACTTTGAATTGGAAGAAAACCTGAAAAAATCCGAAGAGGATAAAAAGAAACGAGGCAGTAACTTCAAGTGCAGCACATGCGAGAAGGAATTTCTGTATGAGAAAAGTTTTCTCAAGCACATAAAGCACAGCCACGGCATTGCAGCTGAAATTGTTTATCGGTGTGAAACCTGCAGTCAGACCTTTGCCAACCGGTGCAACCTAAAAAGCCATCAGCGCCACGTCCACAGCAGCGAGCGCCACTTCCCTTGTGAGCTCTGCGGTAAGAAGTTCAAGAGGAAGAAGGACGTCAAGAGGCACATTCTCCAGGTTCATGAGGGTGGTGGGGAGCGTCATCAGTGCCAACAGTGTGGAAAGGGGTTGAGCTCCAAAACTGCCTTGAGGCTCCATGAAAGGACGCATACAGGCGACAAGCCTTATGGGTGCACAGAGTGTGAGGCTAAATTTTCTCAGCCTTCTGCACTTAAAACACACATGAGGTATGAACAGACTTAACTGGCCTTGTTAGATTCTGGGGGGAGAAGCAGAATCCCCTGGAACACACCTTGAGCCTTCCAGTGAAGTGGGGATGTAAAACGTGACTGACTGGAAAGTGTCTGTATTGCCTTTTTTCATTCCCCCTGCTTTTCAGGTTAAGGGAGTTGCGGTAATATAAGCCAAAGTAGAGGTGCATGGGCTGAGGCCTGCTGCTGCTGAAGCATACAGTTAACTCTTCTCACGGGAGGAGAGTCAATGGGACATTTCACATGAGAATAGCAACCCCCATGCCAAATTATTTATAGGATTGGGGCTACAATTATGTCAGCTAATTTGATGCCTCTTTATAGTCAATAGAATAATGTTATGCAATAAGTATGAAAATACTCTGAAGAGATTTGGCTATATATTAAATTGAAGAACACCAGATTTGGGTGCTAAGCATAGAAAAAACTGATATGTGACTAGAAAGGGGCTAACATGTCACCATCTGGAGGCGAGTAAAGCACTGAAGACACCCATGCAGAGCTGATGAAATCAGTTGTAGTGCTTATATTGCAGTGAGACTCAAAGGTGGAGGTGCAAACGCATGAAAGTTCATGGAGAGACATTTTTATCAAGGCAAAAATTCTAGCTATTAAAAGCTTTAGCCTGCTTTTATCAGCCTACCAAAGCGGTCATCTACAGCCAAAGTTCAGGTTACAGCTAGGGTGTAAAGCGTGGAGAGGGAGGTACAGAAAAAGATTCCAAAGTACTACTACTCGGATCCAAAAAGAGAATGCAGTGGTGTTAGCGTATTCCTAGGTGGCATTCCTAGGCAAGGTAGAAGGGTTCATTAACCACTGCTTTGTTTCACTTTGTCTTTTGAAGTCAGTGGGTTTACTCCCAGTGGTAGAAAGCATGTCCAGAAGCATAACTTTTGCTAGAGTGCTGCTATGATGTTATTGCTGATGCAGTGCTGTACGGCGTCTCTCTTTCATCATGTGTCCTTTCCTAACCGCAACTTTGTGCTGCTTAAAAATTACTTTTTAGTGTAAGTGGAGTTTCTCCTCCGTTGTGTACCACTATGAGACTATTCAGTAAGCTTGTTGAATGCTGGAAACTCAGCGCTGTCCTAACTTGTGTATTGTGACAGCCTGTGGTGAGAATTTCTCATCTTTTTTTCTATATATTTTTACATCTGTGGTGTTCCTGTTGATGTATATTACCATGAAAACTGGCCTCTGTTGACTATGTTCCTGCAGGACTACTCAAAAGAGTCCTGAAGTGTGTGCGGGCTCAAAAACTTAAGCTAGAGTAAACTGGCACAGGCAGCAGTTCTGTAAACTGCCCTTCCTGTACACACAGCCTTCCTCGGGAGACAATACCACAAGCTTGGGGTGACAGCAAGAAAACTGACTGTATAAAAGTGGCATCTTTTTATTCTGCTCCTTGGGTGCCACTTGTTCCAGAGTAGCCAGTCATTCTATACTTGATGGCCCTGCAGGAGCAGCATGCCAGGGAACACCTCTCACATTCTGTGTGGAATATTTTATTGATGGTGTCAGCAATATAAAGGTACCTGCTTTACTTCAGATCCCAAGATGGTTACATTTTTCTTTCAGTCTGTCTGGATACAAGTTTTCTAAACTTTACTCAATTTTTACCTTCAAGATTTGTTTTTACCCTAAAGAAGTTTCTGCGTCTGAGCCTTGATCATGCAGCACGTGCATGATCGAGCAATAAAAGCAGTATTTGCAGAAACCACAATGCAGAATTTGGCCCAGCTGAAAGTATTTTTAAAAGACACTAAACTTGCGCAGGCATACAGTCACTCATCAGAGAGCAGCCACAAAGTAAAGACAACTTGCATTGTGCTGCAAAGGAAAGAGATATACCTCGGTGCTTTAATGTTGCTTTCTCATTTCAGAATCCATACTGGTGAAAAACCTTTTGTCTGTGATGAATGTGGTGCCAGGTTCACTCAGAATCACATGCTTATATATCACAAACGATGTCACACAGGTAAGGCTTTCTTTTACAGTGTACTACGTATAGGAGGAGGCCTGCTGTGAAACCAGGAGATCTCATTTTCATTCAGAAAATGCTTTTTTGTTGTTGTTTGTTATATAAAATCAGATGTTCTCATCCCTAGACACAATTTCACTGAGAAAGGTTCCTATAGGTGGATAGGCAGACAGTGGAGAGAGTAAAAGGAGCTGATTAAAAAGAAGAGGAGTTCCCATCTGGCTGGGATCCAATGTCTGAAGTGTGGGCTGAGGCTGCTTTGGATAGTCTTCGATATCCAAAGATCTGTCATCAATAAAAGGTCTAGTTGAATTCTTAAGAGAAAAATTATTTCTCTAGAAGTCTGGAACAGTTAGCCCAAGGAATAGAAAACAGCTGTCTTGGCTTATTCTGATCTTTTTAAAAGCACGTGTCCTTCTCCCGGCTATCCTACGTGGTGTAAATTGGTGTTTTGAATTGACCCTTCATACCACCCGCGAGTTGTGTGTGGTACTTTTGCATCTCTTAATTGGCCTGTCTTAAAACTGTCTGCCTTCTGCCAGTAACTTGTAACTAAATGTGAATAGCAGAAAACATTAAATTACAATGAAATACAATTCCAAGAACACCTTTTTGAGGCATGTATAACTAAAATTGGCTGCATACAGGCAGAGGCTGTTCATCAGAGGCATGCAGGGTTGTGTTTATGATCAGAGTAAGCCAGAATACTCCAAAGATGGTGAGAAGACTGCTAGCTTCAGATCTCCCTGGGCTTTTCATATATTACTATTGGTGTACTGTTGGATAGGTGTGGTTGCCCTTGCACTTGCAGGGTTTTGTGCAGATTTCTCGCGGGAAAGCTCTGTGCCTTACACAGACATCACTGCTGTCACTGTGGCCCCTTCAGATCCTTTTGTGAGGCTGGTGTGTGGTTCATTTGCATGTAATAGCGTTCAGTTTTTGCGTGTGATATTAATTCTCCTGTTCACCCTTGCTGTAGGGGAAAGGCCTTTTATGTGCGAAACATGCGGGAAGAGCTTTGCCTCTAAGGAGTACTTGAAACACCATAACAGAATCCATACTGGATCCAAACCATTCAAATGTGAAGTTTGCTTCAGAACGTTTGCACAGAGGAACTCGCTTTACCAGCATATAAAAGTTCACACAGGTAGGAGGTGCTCTTTTTTGTTTTAAACAAACCATCACAATTTAAAGACGTAGACCTCACAGTTGCTTAATTCAGACAAGGGATTTCCCATTACTTTTAATTCCTACCCTGCATGCACGTTTTCATGCTTGATGCAGTATGCTCTTTCATCCACTTCCCTTCTCCCAGTACTCCCTGTGCTTCTTACCGAGTTACAGCAATTCTCTGAAATACTTCCAAGAGCTGTGCAGATAGTGTTAATAATGCTGCCAGGATTATTAGTGACCGAAGAACTATGTCCATTTCAGCTCTGAGCAAAGCACTACAGAGTGCTGATCTCGTTCTTGTCCGCTTGCCCACCTTTCATATTTGCATTCTCTCCTGCTTGGATTTTCTCTTCAGTGTATGTTTTTAAGTTTTCTTATCCGCTCTCTCAAAGTCCACATTACTCAGCAATACAGCAGGTTGCAAATACTCATGTTACTTTCATCATGTAGTAAATACCACGTTTTCTCATCCAGCGCCACCCTGTAGGAAGCATCCTTGCCAATATTCTCTGTAAACAAAATTCTTGTTTGGCTGCCGTGCCTTGCTCTTTCTTCACTTCCTGCATCTCTGTGTCTAGTGTGGCATCACTGTAGGGGGAGCAGGGGACATTGGCATGGCAGTGCTGACTCTAACGGTTTTTTCCTGTTCTAGAATGTCATCTCTTTTTCTGTGACACCGCTTCCATCTGTTCGAAAGTTTTTGGCATCCCTTTTTCTACCTTAGCTAGGGAAGAAGTAAACGTGGTTGTTTCAAAAAGTGCTTAATACAGTGACTGCAGCAGAACAGTTTATGATGGATTTGGAGAGAACCTAGTGGTTATGAGCAGCTCTGGTACTCACGCTCACAGAACGTACCTTGTAAATAGGAAAACTTGTATTCTGGGCAGGACTTCAGTCGCTAATGGAAAATACATATAAGAATGTGGAGGCTTCAGTGGTTGCACAGATTTATGCAGGCTGTGGATCTAGGCCTTACTCTGTCAAGTATCTGCTTACTTCAGATGTGTCAAAATTTACCCAGCTGAGAATTCTGAAAACATCTTGTTTTTTTTCTGAAGGTGCTTGTGTGTGCCTTGTCACTTCATGAAGTACAGGGGTTACTTGAGGTTCCCCAGTGAGCAGCACTCGTAATACCCCCATGTTGTGGTTTAACCCCAGCCAGCAACTAAGTACCACGCAGCTGCTCACTCACTACCCCCCCACCCAGTGGGATGGGGGAGAGAATCAGGAAAAAAAAAAAGTAAAACTCATAGGTTGAGATCAGAACAGTTTTAATAGAACAGAAAAGAAGACACTAATAATGATAATAATAACAATAATAAAATGACAATAATAATAATAAAAGGATTGGAATATACAAGTGATGTACAATGCAATTGCTCACCACTTGCCAACCAATGCCCAGTTAGTTCCTGAGTGGTGATCCCCACCCCCCCCACCCCCAAGTTTATATACTAGACATAACATCACATGGTATGGAATACCCCTTTGGCCGGTTTAGGTCAGCTGCCCTGGCCGTGTCCTGTGCCAACTTCTTGTGCCCCTCCAGCCTTCTTGCTGGCTGGGCATGAGAAGCTGAAAAATCCTTGACTTGGTCTAAACACTACTGAGCAACAACTGAAAACATCAGTGTGTTATCAACATTCTTCTCACACTGAACCCAAACATAGCACTATGCCAGCTACTAGGAAGACAACTCTATCCCAGCTGAAACCAGGACAGCCTGACATCACCCCTTTGATGCTGTGCTCTGCTTTCAGGTGAACGACCCTATTGCTGTGACCAGTGTGGTAAGCAGTTCACACAGCTGAACGCGCTGCAGCGTCACCATCGAATACACACTGGGGAGAAGCCGTTCATGTGCAATGCCTGTGGGCGAACTTTCACTGACAAGTCCACCCTCCGACGGCACACTTCAGTAAGAACCTGTCATCCCACTGCCTTGTAGCCCTAGAGCCTTCCTCCGTGGCCACGTACTGACCTGTCAACTTTGTCAGGCCTGGAGGGGACTTGTATCCAGTTTTTGTTGTGTTTAGCACATTGTCCTCTCTCCAATGTGGCATTACAATACTCAAATGGTTTGTGTTGAGTCCCGAGTCTGCAGTGAAGCCATTCTTAATCCATTGTGACATAGCCCATATAGGTCATGCCTGAGGACTCTTCAGTCACGCATTGGTTCTGTGACCTCTGAGCATGTTCCCCATGCAACTGGCAAGTGACAGAATTCACTTTCTGCATCAGGCCCTCTGCTGGACCTGTTAGATGCTTTATGAAAACAGGAAGCTCACCAGGGACACACAGATTAATGCCTGGATGTATATACTGCCCTAGCTTTGGGATAGTTAGGTGGGATGAAAAGAGAGATCGTTAGTACCAGCATCAAGTATGAGCTGGATCCAAGCTTTTGCCTCTCAGACAGTCATCATCTGTTCAACCTTCTGGTTTTTTGCTCCCCCCCCCTTTTTTTTCCCCCAGATACATGATAAAAACACACCCTGGAAGTCCTTCCTTGTCATTGTTGAAGGAGCGTCTAAGAATGATGAAGGTCACAAAACAGAGCTTCCTGACGAAGAATATGATGTGTCACCTAAACTACCAGAGAAGCTGCTGTCTTTCTCTGAAAACAGCCACTATCAAAACTTGACTGCTGTCCCAGGGAGTGTGACTGCACTGCATGACAACGGTTCTGCCACAGGAACAGACTGTAAGTCAGATGGGACTCCGGGACCCCAGGAAGCCCTTATAGCTACCACTTTAAGTGAGCTGACAGTGCTGCATACACAGACAGACTCTATTCAGCCACAGCTTCATGCTCTGGTGAATATGGAATAATTTGGTATTTGCAAATCCAGTTTAAGCTGCACCCTTTGTATAGTCCTTTGACTTTGCCAATAACCTACTGAGGGAACTAGGGGAAGCTATGACAAGGAAGCAGGGCTAGATGTGAAACACATGCACTGGGTTTCCAGAATTTCCTCCAAAAAGTCATGACCCACCTCCAATGCATACCGCTCCATCTCCTGAAGGTAGCGCAGAGTAACACCACACCAGGGTGGTGGTAGAGGAGGCAGAGGTCCCAGGAAGTTTATTCCCTACAAATAAAAGGGTGTAGTTCAGCTTGTTTGCTCTAGCTGGCCTGCAGTGAAAGTAAGTACCTACATTCAGATAGGTTATAAAGAAAGTGTGAGTTTGATTTCCAGTTGATTTGATGACACTTGTACAATCAAGAGAAATGATGTTGTGTTTCTCAGCCTAGTAGCTTAGTGAAATTAATTGCATTTTTCCTAGTGGAAATTCATACATAAAATAAGTTTTACTAAATTGCTTTTCAGGAAATGTTGGTTTATCTCTGCTTTTGCCAAAGATCCAAGCAGTGAGCCAGCTCACTCCTTGGGAATATGAGTGGGAGCAAGCTTTGGAAAGATCTGGTTTCATTCCAGGAGTTTGGATTCTCTAGTAGCAAAATGGGCAAGTGGGAGCCAAGTGCTGCATCTGTACAGGTGTGGTGGCATTATTCTTGCATTTCAGTGGAACCTGGTGCAGTTTGACACTTGCATTCAGTCAGTCTTCATCTTCTAACCACTCCAGCTTACATAGAACTTGGCACTTAAGAGACCAAAACATCTCTTGTAAAAGCATCTATGAAAAGTAGTATTATTTCAGCTATGCTGGAAAAGCTAGTGTAAAGAGACAGCTTACTGGCATTTTCCTGTTAACTTGCATCTAAGCCATTTTCTGCTGGTTCAGATAGATAGGTCAGCAATGCTCTTTTCTCCACAATCACTTAAACACTGCTGTTGCTCAGAACAGCAGACCTACTTTTAAATTAAGTAATACTCCAGTGGGAAAAGTTAACGACTGTTCTACTGTCGAGTTGCTACAGCTAATTCCACCAGTGCAATAGTCTCCAGAGGTAAATTCAGTTACAAACGGGAGGCAGTCAGGGTTCTTATGACTAATGGCATAAAAAGATGCAAATAAGTGAAAAATGTACTGGACTATTCAAGGGGTTTAGGCCTTTATTTCCCAGATTGTGAATACTTTGTAAGACTGATGTTGGAATCTGAATGGCAGTTTTAGGCTACTGTCTGTTTAACTGTCCCTCCCCAGTGAGGTGTTCAGAGGCAGGCCTTAGGAACATAAGTGATGAATAAACTTAAAAGTTCAAAGGCTTACTAGCATCTGCTGCTAAATTTTAGTAAATAACCCTGACAATGTGCCTTTTTTTGCTTGTTTTAAATAAGGAAATGTGACAAAGTGAGCACAGGGACTAAGGGTCCCAATATGACTTCTGTTCAGCCCACGCTCCAAAACCGCAATTTCACACAGCCTCCTCCAATGCTGGCTGGGTTTGGATCCCAGTGCCACCAATCATGAGAATCATGCTTCTTCTGTTTGGGCATTTCTTACCAAGACAGACAGATCTTCCCTTAATATCTCCCCCCTTTCCCCAGGGAGTATGCCTCCTTGTTCTCCTCAGTTGCACCCAGTAGCTGGGAAAGCTGTTGCATGGGGAAACCTGAGAGTTTCTGTCCAGGGTAAGCATTTCCTGTGTTTCCTTTGCCAAGACCAAAGCTGGGCTGGAACGAGGAAGTTACTTTGGTTGCCTTCAGCTTAACCTCACTGGAGTACCCAGGAGGATTTGGGGTATTTTCCCTGTGGAGGGAAGGAACCTTTGAAATAGTTGGCACTGGCAAAGAAATGCCTGACTGGGATGACTCTTGGTTTTGGGAGCAGCAGTGAATGAATCAATCAACAGCAGCTTGCTGGTATGGTTAACGCTTCAAACTCAGGACCGAGATTCCCAGTGCCACCATGTGAAAATCTAGAGCTTTTCAAATTCATTTTTCTGTTTCTCCTTATTTTACTATAAATGTAGTATTTCCACAGAAACTTTCTCAGCTGAAACTGTGAGAAAAACTTTCTGAAAGATTGCATTAATGTAAAGGTAAGCACAATCAAGCCTTGTTAGGGCCCGTTCTAAGGCTTAGGGGTTGGCAAAGCAATAAAGATATACCCAAACTGTGGCACAGAGCTATTTTTGAACCTTAAAGGGATGTCTGTTGTGTTACCATGGAAACATAACTTAATCTATAGAAAGGGAATTTTTTTTAAAAGAGAACACTTCCAAGAGCTTATATTTGAAATATTTATTCAATCAAGCACGATGTTCCTGTTGAAGCTCAGTCATTCCCAACAATCAGTGTAAAGAGTTTGTAGATATATTTAAAATCTGAGCATTAGTACCTGTAGCCAGGGAAACTTTTGTACTCCATGAATGTACGGAAGTGAGTTACTCGTATGAACTGTTCTTATTAAAATATCGAAATCTTAAGCCTGACCCTTCCCGTGCCTTGATGAGCGTATCGAGCGTTTCTATCCCCTCAATGTACTGTGCAGATCCCCAGCGCTGGGAATGGACGACTGGGACTGGGCAAGTCCTAACTGAGCTCTACTGCAGGCCTGAAGCTGCTGCGTGCCACTCTTCTTCCTCAGGCCTGTTGCTAGAGTGGCAATACAGCACTGCGGAAGCCTGGGCTAGGTTTCTTGGAGCTTACCTTTGGCTAGGTGTTAAGAAACATACCTGAAAAAACAGGAAATGTGATGCTTTGGGACATTCCACTTTCCTACAGATGACATATTGTACCACAGGCAATTAAGTGGTGTGACAGTCACTGTAAAATGAGCAGCCAGTGCTTTCCTATACAAGTATTCACCCTTAGCATGTACCTTAACTGGTCACCTTGACATAGGAAGCACTGTGATGGTGAAAGCCAGTACGCATACCCTACAGCTTTTCGTCAGGCTCTAGCTTTAGCCTGCCTTTTGCATTTTCCGGGAAAGAACATTTATCACTACATACATTCATGGTTTTCACTTTATTAATGTACAGATTCACACAAAACATTATATTCTTGCTAAGGCCATTTCATTAATAAGTTTTCATAGTACAGAATTGTGTACTGGAGGGAAAATACAGCAGAGTGGCAGATCATCATTTTAAAACTGTCACAATTTACCACTGATACACCGGAGGACATGCTGTGTAGCCTACTTATACAGAACTAACATTTGTATTTTAATGAGATTACTCCAGAGCACAGTAACAGACCACACAACCCCACAGGTACGGTCTTCTGGTCCACCAGCTCCATACACATCTTATCACAACTGTGCCTAATACTGACAACTGGAAAAGTGAACAAAAAAAGGCATAAAACACTCGCCTCGGTTCTGTGTGACACTAGGAAACGTAAACTGCCCAGCCTGCACTTCCCCTCACCAAGGCTCCAAAGGTGTTGGATACAAGTCAAGACAAACCCATCAATACGATGGGTCTTTGCTCACTAAGAAAACAGGTAAATTAAACAAAAAGGGTTCCAACCCCATCCTTTTACCACAGGTGAGTTCAGCAGCAGTTACATCTTTAGGCCGTCTTGTCCAAGACGAGATCAAATCTGCAGCTAATCCATCTTTTTGCAGTAAGATTACCTATGTACCACGCCAGCTGCATCCTAAGCCCAGTATTTTCTCTGCCCTGTGGAGGTGGCACAAGCGCGCAAAGGACTCCGCTACAGGAACGGGACACCCTTAGAAAACGTCAGTCATTCCTCCTTTCTGATGAGCTGAGGTGTGCGCCTGTCTCTGAGCATCTTGGGAGGACCCAGACCCCAACCCCAGGCTAAATGGAACTGAAAGTATTTCTTTGCCAAGTTTGTGGGAAGGACAGACACGACACATGGTGGTCTAAGTTAAAGTGATGGTTTTGTTGCGGACAGAGGTCGATCACGAGCAGTAGCCTTAAAAACACATCTGAGAAGTGAAGAAAGTGAAGTTGCTTAGAAGAAGGAGCATCATCCAGGCTTTTTCAATGCACTCACCTTGCCAGTTTTGCACAGCTCATGGTTCTTTCCTGTCAAGTTAGGATGCACAGAATAGTCTATGGAAAATAAGTGACCAGTGAGATCAGTCAGGAACACAAAAAAATAATTTGGCATGTACCAGGAGCGTTTTCTTTTCCATAAGCCAGTGGTAAAGTACCACTTCAATAGAACTAAACCCTTTAGACCAATAAGCCAGGCTGTGTTCTACTCAAATATCTAGATTAAAAACAAACTGAAGTGCAAAAGCCAGCATTTTGGTTGCCAGAGAGTATTGCTTCATCACAAGGAACAACGGGCAGAGTCCACGCTGGGCACTACTGTGATACTCCCACTCTGGCCATGGAGGAGGGCCCACTTAAACAGCAGTTGTGCCAAATAAAGCAGTTAATTAATTACTTTTCCATTCTTTATATGTCAGTAGCACAGCTGAAAAATCTCTTCATTGCAGAGAAATACTGAGTGACAACTCCCCTTCTCCCAACAAATTGCATAGGCTCCCAAGTCCCTCTTAATATATACACGAAATAATAGGTAGCTTAATCATTGCTCATTAAACAAAGCATTGCACAGAAGAGCCTTGCTTGCAGACATTTTAAAACACCTTTCTAAAATTACTGCAGGAATTTTTAAACGCATCTACACCTTTTCAAAGCAAGCTCGATTCATCTGTCACCCAGATGACTTAAAGTTTCTGTATAACAGCAAGTCTCAGTCAACACCTTTGCACATCATGAGAATGAGGGCAGTGTCGCCAACAGCAGAGAGGTCAGAAACTAATGGGTATTGCCTGGCGCGCACACAAAAGACCTGTAGTAGAGATTGCAGCAGGAGTTGTGTAAATGAAAAGTTAGAAAAATAGATTATTACTTGGGTCAAGTCATCTCAGGGTAGGAGGGATGGGATGCACCACAAAATAAAGGAAGTGGAAAAATAGATCCAAGAAAATATAGAAGAACCTTACATTTTATATTTAGATCTGAAATACAAAATACACCGTTAACTAGGTCTACTTGCGACAACTGTCTGGAGGGCTAACGCCAATCTCAGCAGTCCTGTCCCCTAGCGTGTAATGCTTTCAGCACAAGGTCATTACCTATTCTGTATTTATAGGTGCACACATGTATCTGTATAGGATGTATACACACACATGCATACTGTATGTAAGAGTCACAAAGCCGTTCACTAGCACCATTAAAAAAGCTCAATCATTTAAAAAAAAAAAACAAACGAACCCAAGATCCAAGTCTATCTGACAGAGGTCCATTTAGAAACAGAAAACGGTAACGATACAGCAACAGCTCAGAAGCAATTATTTGTACTGTACTGGCACAGACAAAATATTTACATGCTGTAATCGATGGTATTGAGCCTTAAGACAGAACAGCAGGAAAAACCAGTAGTTGCAAGTGCAGACTTTGGGTTCATCAGCTAACAAAACCAAGAAAGGATTTCTGCCAGAAGTACTTCTTTTGCCTCAGAGAGATCTGCCAGTGATACCCAGAGCATCGCTTCTCATCTACCCATGTTGTCACAACAAAGAGCAGGATACTAACGAAACACACAAGTCATTGGATTTGTAAGCAACAAAATAAAGCTAGATATTTTATCACATATCCCATAGTGGTCCTTGGCTGTAACACAAGAACAGATTACTTAGGCTGCATGCCACAAATACCACGCACGATTCACTTCAGGTCCCCGTCCCCTTCTCCTTGGATTGACTTTTTGATGCGAAGCAACATGGTTGTAAGCCACTGATCCAACCGCGATATTGAATCGAATTCTTTAACCTATTAGAAAAAAATAGTTTAAATTAAGATATTGGAAAGCAAACGAGACTGCTGCAAAAGAAGCATTCTGTAGCTCTTGAAGTATGGTCTTTTAAAACTTCTACTCTTCCCAGAGAAAAAAATAAAATTAAATAAAAAAAAAAGATATCTATCCATCTATCCAAAAACACACAGAGCACTTTAAGCCACTGTCAAACACAGACAGGAACTGGAGCAAAACTGGGCAGGATCTTTACTTAACTCTCAACAATAAACTAGTAATTTTAAAGTATTAAGTTTGGGATGTGCTAGAGCCCAGGCTGGAAGCAGCTCTGCTAGTGTCCATCTCTCCTGCAGGTTGTTTTGTGGCAGGATGTTTAAGCAGTGATGTGCCTGGTGTTCTGCTCCACTGGACTGGGTCACAGAGCTCAGGCAACAAGTTATCCAACATTTAAGTGCACAGGTACTGGTGGAAAAAAAAAATAAATAAAAAAAAAATAAAAAAAAAAAAGAAGGAACAATCCACCATCCACAAGCACACCTTAGCAAATTCATGACTACTTACTGCCTCGGTGTACGCCTCACAGTTCTGCTCCTCGTGGGCTTCCAGCAGTTTCTAGGAGAATACCATTAAAAATTAGAAAATGCTCTGTTGCCACATGTTCCTGCAGGGCCAGTGTGGGGGCATCTTGTCCCCAGGAGAGAGGGAACCTCTCCACCCACACTGCAGGGCACCCATATGTCCAGCAGCAGCACCTTTGCAACCTGTTCAAACCACCTGCCATGAACACAGAAATAGTTTGGGGCTTGTTTTTTTTAAGTTAGCTAGAATAATCATCCTGCTGCTGCAGCTACTTCCCCAAGTCTGGTATAAACCCAATGCAAAGTGAGTGATGTCCTCTAAAACGTTCTAATAGAAGACCAAATCTATTGCAAAGTGAAAAAGCACAAAGTAAAGAGCAGTATGCATTTTCAAGCATGACTATTATTTTCATACTCACTTTCAATAGCTTGCACTCCCGTGAATCTGTGAACGCTGGGAACATTTCTTCGTATTTCTCAAGTGCAAGCTGAAAGAGAGAAGACAACCCTTACACTTGTTTCACACAAAACTGCTTGCTTTTTATTTCAGTTTTTGCCTTCCAGTCCTAAAACTGCACAGAGAGCTTGGGAAAATATTCATAGTAAATCCAAGAGCGAGTATTCACAGTAAATCCAATTCGACACTACAGCACTTCAAGCTTCAGTCTGTGCAACAGCCATGCAAATTCCCGTGCATGCAAGAACGTGTCTCAGCTGGCAGGATTAAGAGGGATGCAGAAAGTTTCGGATAACTGCTCTGAGCCCACTGACCTTCGCGTTCAGCTCATCCACGATGAAGTGGCACAGAGCGGCTTTGAAGAAATACTCTTTCGCACTATACTTGAGCAAAGGATTATCCATCGTGTTTGTTCCAACCTAGGCGCAAAAAAGATATTATTAGAGTTGGGAAAGAAAACTGCATCATTAAGAACTGAATTAAAAACAAAACAGCTGATTAAAATTACACGCAGCACCACACAGCTGTCTGCAAATAAAGACCGTGGAAAAAAATGCCAGCGCCCATACAAAAAGCTATTGGGAAGCCAGACAGTTTTTAACTAATCGCAAGCGAAGTCAGAGACTCGCAGGCAGCTGTGAGAGCACACCCCAGGGAGCCGCCGCACCAGTTCAGGCGTGCCACACTGGTATCTCAGTATGTCCTGTCTGATGGAGAAGGGGGAAAGCAAGTCGACTGTGAAAACCTGCTCCAATATTAACCCTCCAGAAGCACAAAAGCAGCACTGCAAGTATTCCCAGCTAAATACCTGACACAAAGGCAGAGCAATCAAGTTTACAAATTTTGGGGGAAATTTTCTGCCAAATGGATTTGTAAATACCATCAAAAGTGTAACTGTAGATTTGCTTCCCCCAGCCTTTCTCCAGAAACAATAGGATTTGCAGGAAAAAATGCCTTCAATAAGCTAAAGTAACTCTTAAAAGCCAAGGAGCAAACTATGTCTCTGTCCTGGTTTCAGCTGGGATAGAGTTGTCTTCCTAGTAGCTGGTACAGTGCTATGTTTGGGTTCAGTGTGAGAAGAATGTTGATAACACACTGATGTTTTCAGTTGTTGCTCAGTAGTGTTTAGACCAAGTCAAGGATTTTTCAGCTTCTCATGCCCAGCCAGCAAGAAAGATGGAGAGGCACAAGAAGTTGGCACAGGACACAGCCAGGGCACCTGACCCAAAGTGGCCAGCGGGGTATTCCATACCAGGTGACATCCCATCTAGTACAGGAACTGGGGGGAGTTGGGGCAGGGGGATCGCCGCTCAGGGACTAACTGGGTGTCGATTGGCAGGTGAAGAGCAATTGCACTGTGCATCATTTGTATATTCCAATCCTTTTTTCATTACTGCTGTCACTTTATTAGTGTTATCGTTATCATTATTAGTTTCTTCTTTTCTGTTCTATTAAAATTGTTCTGATCTCAACCCACAAGTTTTACTTCTTTTCCCGATTTTCTCCCCCATCCCCCGGGGGGGGGTGGGGGGGTGGGGGAGGAGCAAGTGAGTGGCTGCGTGGTGCATAGTTGTTGGCTGGGGTTAAACCACGACAGTCTCATAAAGGCATAATCGGCCCCAAAATAAGAAAGATAGGAGCTTCTAGGCCACGGCAGTTTTGCGAGACCGACACACTGACCTGCTTTTCATTTTCAAGAAATTTTTGGCTCACGATTTTCTCTAATTCACATCTCTCATCCAATCTGCAGCACCATTTAAACAAGAAAACCTTTCACCCCTGACCAGACCTGAAACATCCCATGTGTAGGACAGTCCTTAAGAATTTAGCCATGGGTAAACACAGCTGGAAAACTCAGTCTTACAGAGGAAAACTCATCACATCCCCACCACCGAGATTGCCATAACTGCCCCAATGGCAGCGCAAGGGACAGGAGCTCAGCCGCAGCCACCGAGGGACGCGATGGCCAGCACAGGGCCAGCACCACACAGGCGCTGGCAGCCAGGCTGCCCCAGCCCCGTTGGACAAGCGCACGCCCTCACCTGCTCATAGATTTCTATCGCTTTCTGGTACTGCTCCAGCTGCGCGGCGTAGGCAGCCACCTTCAGCAGACACTTGTTGGCTGAGCTACAATCAATTATAGCATTAAAGTAAGTAATTGTGTCCCGGGAGGGGGCAGAAATCCATACCCTGGTACCTCCAAGCACTACCTGTAGTACTTAGTGTATAAAAAAGTGGGACCCAAAAGCTGCAAATTAGGGGAATTTTCTTTTTAACAGCCAAAATTAAAACACACAGAAAGGCACAAAGACCTTCAGCTCAACACGGACCTGCTGTCAAGACACTGTTCAAACACTCCATGCTTTCTCTGCACCCAAACCAGGCACCCCAAACCAGACACGCCTGCCTGCAGGATGAGAACCTTAAACAGAAATCTAAGCAGGACTTGGGCATCCCACCGACGGACATTTTAGAAGAGGCTGGCAGGCAAGGTGTGCAAGCGCGTGGGCCATCTAGGACAAATCCCCATCTCCAGCCCTTCCCTGTTGTGACTCCTTATAAAGATCACTTGCCTGTTAGACTCCTCTCCTTTGTAATAGTCCGCAGCCTGCTCGTAGTGTGCAATCGCCTGGGGACAGAAACATCGTGCTTGAACGTCACTTGTGAAGTACAATTTTTGGTCAGACCAGTGTACAGAGACCACATTCACAAAAGCTTTTCCATTCTGCACGTAAACAGAGCAGCGTCATGACACGCTGTGGGGCTTCTGGTGGAGCGAAACGCTGCCATGCATCCCCTGCACACTCAAAACACGAGGCTGCCCTTGGAAATTTGACCGTGACCTTGTTAAGTGTCCCGAACTCCAGTGCAGATTTGATACGGGTGACACTACTCTTGAGGTAATGACTACAAACACTTACAATCACAGTGCGCAAAGGCTTCTGCCAGGTTTGCCACAATAGAATAAACCACTTAACAGAACAGCCCTGACATAGCAGGGCTTGATTTAAGTGGGGCTGCACATGGAGAGGCAACACTGAAGTCATTAACAGAGACAGATGGGATCCAACAAAGCAGAGCTGAGGAAGCCAATGATTGTCTAGAAAATAATATCTAGAAACCACAAATTTCTGTTCTGCAAACTTCCAAGCAGAAGATTTGCAGCCAGTTGAGCTGCTGCAGGATTCCTGCTCAGGGCCCTTGGTTATGGAAACGAGAGAGGGTCGGTGCTGAACTGTGAACTAAAAGTAACAGCAGCCTCCTTTGGGTGCATCAGAAAATTGCTATAGAACTGCCCCACAACTTTCCTGCAGTGCTTTTCAGACGTGAAACACCACTTCAGTTGAGAAGGTTTCTCACCTGGGTGTTTCTGCCAGCCCTGCCGTGCTGTTGCTCAGCAGAGAAGCACGCAAAAGAGTCAGGATTGCCCCACCAGAGACCCATGCTGGGAAAATCATCGCTCACCCTGTTAAAACTAACTTCAAGTTACAGATGACTTGCACCTACATAAAGAAGCCTGGTGCCGGACAGGAGATGGGTTTTATTGGCCGCGCTGAGCTCGGCACTGCTCTGGCCGGGGAAGGAAATGCAGCCACCACCGCAGCACCTGCAGAGCGGTACCAGCAGTGCCCGACATCCTTACCTTTTCAATGTCTACCAGCTCAGCCTCGTAGATCTCCGCAATGGTGATGTGGTGCTTGGCAGCGATAGTGAATCGCCCCTAGAGAAGGCAGAGGTTGTACATGAGATGGGGGCTCCCCCTCCACCCAGCACACACAGCATTTACGGAGCTGCATCTCTTACAAGCACATCGGTCCACGAGCTGCCAGTGCAGCTTCTTACCATGTCAGTGTAGATATCGATAGCTGCATTTAAGCAGTTGATGGCCTCTGCAGCATGAGTGTTCAGGAAAAACAACAAAGTCAGCCAGCACATCAGATTTCCCAGCCCAAGACCTCCCGCCCTCCAAAAATCAGATCTTGGTAACATTACTCTTCATCAGCTCACACACCAGCTTCTCAAATAAGTATCTACTCACACATTTATGTATATCTCGAACGACAGACATAACATTTTCAACCTCTAAGACCTACAGATGCAACGTCCCCCGCATTTTTGCACCTGCAGATCTAATCTCAATTCACCCAGCCCAAACACCCCCATCCCGCCGACAGCCTGCTGGTTCGCCCTGGCAAAAATTCCAATGCTGAAAGCTAACAGTCAAAAATTAGGATGGGCAAAATACAAATGACTTGTACCCTGGGTTTGTCAGGCTGCACCCTCAAACAGAGCAAAATTCAAAATACCAATCTCATAAACATGCAGGGGCTGCCATTTTCTGGGAAATTTGGGTGTTTTACAATTATAAAACAGTATTATCAGCCCCGAGTTAGTTTATTCAGCCCCCTGGCACAGAAGAGCATGGGTAATACTGGGCGGTTGGTTGGTGTGTTTCCAAACACTCAGCTAGGGTAAAGGGAGTCAGAGGTTTTCCAGAAAACCACAACCCTGCTCTTTACGACCAGATTTAAAGAATCCAGTTCCTTTATCCTCATCCCATCAAAGGTCAGTCCGTTTTCCACCCACCTCTCTGCCCTGAGGAAACCCCTGGGAACGGGGCTGGAGCTAAGGGCAGGGATCCCACTGTGATCCACACCTGAGACCTGCCTTAAGTAATCCTTAAGAAGTGAATGTCTCCAAAGTCAAGCTGAACCAGCAAGGAAGCTATCGAGGGGCAGTGCTTCACAATCAACACACTTCAGCGTAAGCCAAAGTACCAGAGATCACCTAGAGATGACACCCATACACGTGCCGATCCACACAGAAGACCAGAACGATGCCGACTAGCTCGCATTATCTGAAAGCCTATTCTGGAGAAGCAGAAGTGCAGTATTACGGCTTTCGAGTAGCATGCAGCAAGGCTCCACAGCCCCGGTGACTACTGAAAGCCTCGGCGAGCCACCTCCTCTGCCGCTAAGCAGCTTTGCAAGAAACAATCCCGGATTTCGCTCCCCTTACCTTGTGGGTCTGCTTTTTTGTAGGCGTTACCAGCGTCCACAAAGCTGGTGGCCGAGTCGTGTTTGCTCTGCAACTGCATGTGCAACTTGGCCGCCTGACAAAACGCATTTCCTGCAGCTGGGAGAGAAGTGCACACCGACCCCATGTACCCCTCCAGCCCGGTAACGGCAAAGCGTGTGTCGCTTCCCAGGACCCAGAGAGGTCAAGAGATGCAACAACCCCCAATCATTTGTGTCCGGGCACTGCTCGTCTGCTGTGGATTAAGCCTGTCCCCATGGGGCACAGTGGGGGCATCCCACATGCACGCTCATCCTTGGCAACGCATGTTCATCCTCACTACTGACTGTGCCCTGCATCTACTGGATCAGCAAGGGGGATCCCTTGGATCTCGAAACCCACCAGATTTGACGTCCCACCCCAAAGGTACTTCCCTGCTTGACGAGCAAATCCAGGGCAGCGTCCCTTTAGCAGGCTTCCCTGCAGAATTACAAACTTTCATTTTAAAATGGTAAACGGCACCCCAACTAATTTAACATCAGGAACATTCAGGACACCCCCCTTTGCCCACCCTCCCAATATTTAAAGGATCGCAGGGCTGGGCAGAGCAGAGGAATTGCATCGCCATAGGGACCATTCCCATGGAAACAGCCTAGGATATAAAACACCCCTGCGATAATTTGCAGGAAGATGCTCAGGTTCTCGTGGGTCACTCCGGCATCAGCTACCCCAACGGCGGGGGCTGTACTCACCACTCCAGTTTTTGGCGATCTTGAACATGTTGGCAGCCCTGGTGTACATTTCGCAGGCTTCCTCCACCCTGGTGTTGCCCCTGAAATGCAACAAGAGAGCCCCTGACACCGTGCCAGAATGAAATGCTGGCCCCAAAACAGGGGCCGAAAGCTGAAATAGGACTTGGGGTGTTACAACCCCGTGCGCATGGGCGACGTGGCCCCTCCGGGCTTGATGAGGCTGATCACCCTAATTTTAAAATGCAGGGTGAGCATCACGCTGCTCAGAGAGGGGAAGGCTGGATTTGGGGGACCGGCAGCCCCCTGCCCTCGCCAGCCCTTCTCCCAGGGCGCCAGCTCATTACCAACGCACGGTGGAAGTGGGGAGAAATTCAGTTAGCACCGAACGGGGTCCCCCAAGCCCCACTGCGAATGGGGAGCAGGCAGAGGTGGCAGGCACCGAGTAACCAAGCCCTTGCTAGAAAGGGGAGGCAGAGTTTTTCATTGCATAAAGCAGGGACAGGGAAGCAGACAAAACCCACTCCTGAAATAGCAGCTTAGGGTTTTTGCACATTCCTAAAGAATTTGGAGCCTGGAGCAAGCCCCCATCCGCTCCTTGACTTGGGCCCCTCCTTTTTGGGAAGGAACAGTTGACTCGTCAGAGTCTCATGAGACACTCAGCAAAAACACCTGCAGAAAGCAAACTCTAGTTAACATGACAAACTACCATATCATTTAGAGAACATAAAGCAAACCAAAAATTACGAGATGCTAGACAACTTGCTGCGAAAGAACAACTCAACAGAAGCCTAACTGGTGGGGTTTAGGAGCGTAATTCGGCTCCCCAAACCGGATGATTAATGATTAATTTATCTTGACAGAGAAGTTAAATATTTTGTTTATAAAATGCAGATTTCTTCATGGACTTACTCCTATAAGCTCGGTACTGCCCTCTGCAGCACACAGTCCTGCTGACCCTGGAAAGGGCTGCAGCGCAGGAGGCAACAACATTTATTAGTGCCTTTTTTTTTTAATCCCTTCCTTCTTCTGGCAGACAACCACATTTCATTTCTAAGCACAGGCGGGTTTTTTGCACTGCTTCTTGCCCTTGCAAGCCGCCTTTTGCATGAACTAAAGCCAAAGGAGGTGGCGCGAGGTAATGCTACACCCTGCAAGGCGTCCAAACCCGGGTGGTTTTCAGCCTTTTAGTCTCAAAAAAAATAAAAAAGAAAAGCATTTGTGCAAGCTAATGGAGCTCTTCAGGAAAAAAGCCCGGCTGTTGATAACACTTTTGGCTGGGCACTCAGCAGCCTGGGCACCCCCTTTCTCCAGGAGGATGCCAAGAGCAAAGTCACCCACCACCTCTTCTTCCATTTTAAAAGCAATTTTTCTTGCATCTGTTTGCTGCCCAAGAAAATGAGAAATTTGCCTCTCGAAATCTCCGCCAGTTCGCTTCAAGGATTTGTGGCAATTTGCTGCCCGGATTATGCCCCTGGAGCACACCCTGCCTGATTAATCTGCTGGAGGCTGGGAAGGAATTTATTTTTAAAACTTCTGTTTTTAGGGCTGCAGGCACTAGATTTTTCTAGGCTGTTGTTTAGAAACATCGAGGCCTCCACAGGAGCATCACTTCCATAAATGCTCTTTTCTTAAAATTAAAAAAAAAAAAAAGCCAAGATTGAGGTGGCCAAAACTGCTAGTTTTTCAAAACCCTTCCAGGCATGGCTCTCGCACGCCCAGGAGTATCTACTTTTGAACAAAAAGACCCCGTAAAAAGGAAGCTCTGCCATTTTCTGAGGGTATTGCTTCCCCCCCAGCAACCCATCGCTCCAGAAGGTCTCCATGCCCCGTGCTGTGGGCTCGGTGCTGCGAGGGGACCGCAGCTTCGCTGGGCAGAAAATCATCTGTAAAACCCCCGAGCCTGGTCCAAACCCCCCCCGGAGCTGCAAAAAGCCTCAAGGAGAATGGGGGGCTTCAAGCCTCGCCCCGGCACCGTTCCCAGCAGCCCCGAGCAGAGCCTTTGGGTGCTGTCGCCGCTGCCCGGTGGGGTGAGGACACTCCCCGGCGTAAGGGGAGATGCCAGCCCTTGCCAGGGCGAACCCCAGTGACGCCGCGGCCCTGAGAGGATTACCAGTGGCGAGTCCCCATCGGGATAAAGCTGGGATGAACGCAGCCGCCGTGGAGCCGGACTCGGGGACACCACCCCCCCCACAGCTGGTTGACCGGGGCGGGGGGAGGCACAGGCAGGTGCCCTGAGCTGCAGAGGCCGAGTGGGCTCATCACACCGCTGTGTCCATGGGCAGCTGCAGGAGACGCAGCACCCGGGAAGGGGGGGGTGCTGGAGCACCCCCGGCCCGGCTCACCCCTGCTATGCTCGGGGGGGGGGGCGCTGTGTTTTTTCCCCCTCGCTATGCCCTAACACAGCCCACCGGCTGCAGAGACTAAAGGAGACACTCACCCATTCTGGGGGGGGCCACAGCACCCAGGCGGGCAGGGCAGGAGCT